TTAAACATCTTTAAGAAATTAAAAATTAAAGGAAATGATCTTTATCCTAGTTAGCAAATATATATGTAACAGCGATCAGATTTAAACATGTGCCAAGTTTAATATAATTCAAGTGTTATTTTAAACAGTCTGAACAAATGAGCCACTACAGACCCAAAACTAAGTCCCAGTGTTTTGATTAGAAGGAAGGCAAGAGATAGATTAATAACTGCACTCTTTTTAAGGTAAGATAACAAAATAGGTCTAGAGTAGATTGTTTTTTCGATTCACATATTCTTAAGTGATTGACTTTCCAAATTTGAGGACACCTTCCTGAAAAAGCCAGTGAGCTCAATAAATACATTTCTTTCCAGGTTTCATAAGAAGAATATCTATATTGGTTGATGCATATGGCCCGTTAGACTTGGAGGGAGAAGCAGTCATGGCAAAAATGTATTTTCATGATGCTTTACTTGATGAATTCTACTTTATGAAATGTTCGTCATCAACTTGCACTTGCAATAAGGATTCTACACTTAAATATAATATTACTATTATAGAACAACTTATAAGCTTAGATCTGCTCCTCAAGAATGCCTGGGTTCTAGACTAAGCTATTTCACTAGCTATGTGGCTTTAGGCAAGTCAATTTGGGGCTCAGTTTTTTCATCTATAAAATGGGATTGTACATGATAGATCGCCCTTAATGTGACTTCTAAATATAAAGCCTTGCAGTTCTAGGAATTTAGATATAATTCAGAAGAAACCTGGAATTTATAGAAGGTTTGTGTCATGCTGTAATGGAAGCTCATCTTTTCGGAACCGTTAATAGTCACATTGACTTTACAATGATCGAAGGCATTGAGTTAAATTCCCTAATGAGAAGAGCTGGAAGGACAGTTTTTCACTCAGGTTGAACAAGTCAGTCTCTGAGTAAAAATGTTACTGCCGCCCCCTTTTATAAAGTTTTCATTTTAAATAAATGATTTTAATCTTGACTGACAACTTGACACACCCCTGTTGAGGACACATCTAATACATAAAGTAATGCCACACTTTATCTGGGTAAGTCTGCTATTGATTTAGATACAAAGCCATGGCAAGGAAATAAGATCCATTAGGAGATATTCGTGTGACAGAACCAAAGAAAAGCTTTTTGTATTAGTACAATAGGCAAAGGCACCTGGAAGCTCAGGCTGGGACAGCAGATGTGTAAATCCGGCTACTGCCAGATTCTATCCATTGAGTTGACCCAGCCTTGCTGGCTAGGTGTCCTGACTCCTGAGTTAGGGGATTATCTGAGGACATTGTTGCTTCTCACCTTCTCTCCTGGGCTTTTGTTACTTTGTATTTCATTTCCCTTAAGATCTGTAGAGACCTCGGAAGTGGTGAAAGTCAAATCAACAGTTTTTCCTTCTTAAAAATTTAGATAAATTACTTAGCTAGGGAAAAGTTGAAATTGTTGATTTAAATGTGGTTTGGCATCGTTGGTACATTTCAGTTATTTGTCATATTTGTTTTCTTTACAACTGCTAATAATTGAAAGTTGACTGCAGAAAATAGAATTATCCTTCTATATACAACAGAAGGTGTTATAGAGAAGATCAAATGTTCTTATAAGAAAAGTTCATATGAACAATGATTTTAAATTCTGAAAATGTTAATGATGAGGTATTTTATAGTCAAAGTTGTGACTTTTATTACTAAGGGATTTCAGGTTATCCTCTAAGGAACCTCGAAGGGATGCTCTTCTATGTTGAAAGTTAAATCACACTTGACTTTGAAGTGATTCATTAGATATTGGGAAAAACAAACTTCTTACACCGTGGTTAACAAATATTTACTTGGGGGCTTTGGAAGAGAATTTGAATCATAGAATTTGTTGTATGGTTTGGACCTGACATTATTTTACCTCAAATAAGTGATAAAGTTTTAAAATTTATTTTATTTTTGATCTTGAGTATTATATTTTCTATAGGGATAATCCTGTTAAATGCTTTATGTTTATTTTTCAGTCTTTAATATGAAAGGGAATTAAGGAGCATGTAAGATTATACAAAGATGTAGAAGCCTAGAAAAAAAAAGACTAGAGGAAAAAAGATATTAGATTTCAAAAAATACAGTTGTAGGTTTGAGAAGTGATCAGTAATAAATGAAATATTTTATTGTGCATGCATGCATGGGTAATAAATGTGCAGGAGAAATAAATACCACAAAGTAAAATAGAAAATAGTGATTATATAAAAGGATAGATGAATCTGAGGATAAGATTAGGTTCTTACTGTACTAGAATTACAATTTACTGGGGAAGTGAAGCGCAGGAAATATAGGTAAACAATTAATTGTAATTTAAGATAGAATTTAAAAAATGTAAACAGCCTAAAAATATAGAATGTTCTGGAAATTTGGAGGTAAGAGAGGGAGGGGAGGGGAGATTAGGACACTGATGGAAGAGGGGGCTTGAAGTGAGCTGTGAGGCCTGGCAGCATTTGACTGGGGAGAAGGGAAGACGCCAGGGGAGAAGGAAAGACCCCAGGGGAGAGGCAGAGATTGTAGATGAAAAAAAAAGGGTCATTAGTGGTAGGTTCTTGAGGGAAGCAGGGAGAGGTGGGATTTTAAGTCTAAGTAGAAGAGTTAGCCTTGACAAAGAGGACACTTCCTGCTGCAGGAAGTATATTCTTTTTTGTTCTCAACACTAAGAAAATGCTTAGTAAAATATTGCAAAGAAAACTGGCCACAAATCAATAATGATTTTTTTAAATCAGAGAATGGTATCATGTATTCTCTACTGAGAATAAAACCAAGAGAAATAAATGTAAAATGTCAGAATAGAAGATATCATCAAAGGCATCATCAATCCTGTTCCTTTTATATTTTGTATTTTTCTTAAAAGGGATATATTTGAATTTGGTTGAAATGGATTGACTATGGGCATGTCCTCATTTTTTTTTCTGATAGGCTGGGCCAGGCGACTTAGGAATGCTGCATTTCAGGTTCAAAGAGTGCATGTATGTGAAGGCGTGCATTCTTGCGTGGAGCATGGCCAGGCCAGACAACATTAGAAGGGTGCTATTTTTTTTCATGAAAATAAGAGAGATGCCAGGAAACTGGGATTTTAATTATTTCTGGTTTTTTTTTGGGGGGGGGTGGTAAGAATCTTAAATCCTGTAAATCCTAGTTCCTCCCTTTTTAAATAAAATTAAGGGGGTAGTCATGATAGCTAAGATTCTTTTAGTCCTAAAATTAAATGATTCTAAAAATGTGTAATATATTGCCTATTTTTTTCATGGTAAAGTCACAGAATGTGTCTTTCTTTATAAATATTTCCCTTGCTTGAATTTCATGAAAACATTTTGTCTAATACTGGACTAATTGAAACATCTGATAGCTTTTGAAAATATTATAAAAACTCAATTGATGTTGCCTGTATGGATGCTAGCTAAGATTAGAAAAGACTAAATCTGATTGCATTTATATTAAATCCTTCTCTGCCTGTAAATTTTACTCACTTGGAAGCTGTGGTAACTCTGGCTACTGTTAACAATTTGATAAATTGTTATTCACAGCATTCCACTTCCTTTTGGGAGTTGAAAGAGTTAACTGATACAGTTAAAAACTGTGACTCAGTTGAGAACTTCTGGGGTGTCTAGTTTTATGGTTTTGATAGTCAATTTAGCCCTTCAAATCAGTCGCTTTAGACTAATCACTGCAGGAAGGAGATATGAGTAATTAAATTTTGTTTGGTTGAATTGATTATCATATTTTATTCACCCAAGTAGACTTCTCTGTTAGACTATGAGCTCCAAGGAGATAGAGATGTGTCTGTTTTTGCTCACTAATGCATCATATCCCATCTACCTTCCATAGTGCTTACACATAGTGCCTGCTTCATAGATATTTGTTAAATGAATGAATGATATGATTTCACTCCTATGGAGTTGTTAGGCACTAAAAATTTGTGATTCAATGTTCTTTTCTATTTGAAAATTTGTAATCATAAAGCACTTTATATTTGGAAGTGATTGTACAAGACTACAATCTTTCAATAGCATTTAATTATGAAAGATGTCTTACTCAAGACCTTTATGTCTACTTTGAATTCTGCCTTGAACTCCTTTCAGTATATTGAGCCAGAAAGATAAACATAGACTAGCCAGAGGGAAATGCTTCTTAAGAGTAGAAGAGTGACTGGAAATTCAGGAAGTGTTAGTTTGCTGATTGGCTGCCTTTCTTTAGTCATTTTTTAAAAAGAGCCCCAATTCCTTGTCTTTATTATCACAACTTCTTTATCTACTACCATGTTCCACCTTGTTCACATACAGATTTTTCTTTTCTATGTCTCTCCAACAGTTGTCTCATTTCCCCTACTTCACTCAGCATATTAATTACCTCTTGGACATATTTGATTTCTATCCAGACGTGGAGAGCAGGGACAACCATTTCAGTATAGTACGTACAAGCTCTGATGAGTTAGTAGCTTTGAAATCTGACCCACTCCTCATTCTTTCCAATGGAGCTGGAGCGCTTCTAGAGGGGGGACCAGACCTCTGCCATCTTTGGACCACCCAAATCCAAGCTGTCAGCTTCATAGGTATCTTCAGGAGTCTTTCAGCTCATCACTAGGTGATTCCCTATTCGGATTCTCCCTGATATTGTTCCAGTGCCACTTACCTTGAGTTGTAGTAACTTTTGGGGTGAGGGAGTGGAATAAGAGGTGTTTATGAATATTCTTGGGGGCTTAAAGAATGTGCATGCATTTATTCAACAGTTATTTGTTTGATACCCATTGTGTGAGAGGCATATTACATAACTGGAGCCATCATCAGGTAGGTGACTTTAGCTGTGGTGTTAGAATGGGTGGGAGCTGGAGCAGATTACCCTTCCATTTCCCATCTCTCGTGGTTAAGGCTATGGCTCCCCATTACGGGCAGAGCCATGTGGGTCTCTCTGTATGTACTCTTTCCAATGAGCCAGTTTAAGGGTTTCTGACAACCACCTTTTTGATGTTTGTTTTGTGACAGATGATACAAGAGAGCCGGTTTCTCATAGAAATGGCTGACACAGTCCAGGAAAAGATTGTGCAGTGTCAGAAAGCAGGTAACCTCCCCCCCACCCCACCTCCCCACCACCATTTTGTTCAGAAATCATAATAATAATTCTTGGCAGAGTTTTTAAAAAGTTTTGGTTCTTATGCTTAAAATTCAAATAATTTATACCACAATTTATACTTTGAGTTATAGTTAGGTCTTTGCTTAGTGCTGAAGAAATCTAGGTGATAGCAAGTGGGTTGTATGTGTACATATGAGGGGGTGGTATCTGAAGATTTCTAGAGAGGTGAGGGTTTCTGAAGCTGCTCTTGTGGTTTGGGAGCCTATCAAAACCTTTTACTATTGAAATGGAAGCTATGATTCCACATTGCCTCTTCATTTTTACAATTTGAACCATAATTCTTTAGTCTTCTAGGCTTTAGCCTCATTGACTAGTCCTCATTTTAGAATGACCTTTCTTTAAGGATGGGATGGATCACATCTGTGAGGACACACCTCTGTTGATTTATGTCACCTTTATCCGCACCCCTATACTTTTATCTCTCTTGGATCCATGTCTCCTTGGTCCACACACACAACAACGATTATGATGAGGATGATGACAATAATGACAATTGCTTGATCTATATGCATGTGGTATACTAAGCACATACACTATGTTACCTAGTCCTCATAACAACTCTGCACGGTAGTCATCGTTATACCAACCTATAGATGAGGCATCTGAGATTCTGAGAGATTGAGTGAATTACCCAAGATCCCATATTAAAATGTGGTAGAACTGACCTTTGAATCCAGATCACACTTTACAAATTGTGCTCTTCACTGACTGACCAGCAGGCTTAGATGCTTCAGTTGGCCAGAAGCACAAAAGTAGTAATACCAAACATTTATGTAATGCTCCTATGTTCCAGGCACTGCTTTGCGAGCTTTATATGTCTTGACTCATTTAATCTTTACCACAATCCCTTAAAGTAAACACTCTTGTTATCACCATGTCAGCAGTGAGGAAACTGAACTGCAGAGAGTTTCAGGGACTTGCTCATGCCCACAGACCTGGTCAGTGGTATAAGACCAGTGTAAGCCCAGGCTCCACAGGCATGCCCTTGTCATGTGCTATGTTTGTGATGTTGGCACCAGAAAAGTGAATGTGGTTTTAGGCTGCATTAATAAAAGCAAAGTAGCTGGAACAAGGAGGGTGGTGGTAAATCCCTACCTCGTGTGGGCTGCTTCAAGCCCACTTTGAGTAGATGCTCCTGGATGAAGGTCTCTACAAGCCTGACTCTAGGAAGCTATGTAATGCAGTGGCCCCACCTGGATGTCATCCTTAAACAAGAGACATTATTAGTAAGCTGAAACATGTTAGAATGTTTAATCTGGAGAAAAGAAGACTCTAGTGGACTTATCTACTGCCTTTCTTCAAATATATAAAGGGCTGCACTGCAGAAAAAAGATTTGACCTTGTTGGTCTGCACCAAGGAATGAGTAGAAGTTTCAGGGAGAGAGACTTGGGCGTGATATCTGCCTTAGCTTTCAAATGGACTGAGCTTTACAGAAGGAAGTGTGATTCCCATCCCTGAGGTGCTAAGACAAAGGCCAAAGAAACAGATCATGGTGATTTTTTTTATAGTATTCAAGCTTGAGAGAGTGGCTGAGATAAAAATAGCTTTAAGGCCATTCCAAAATCTGAAACATTTGGGTGTTTCCAGGAATGCTATTTTTAAAAACTCTTTTTATTTTTACTCAACACTTACTAATTGCCATTGTTATCTATGTAGGCAACAGGGCCTCCTGTCAAGCCATATGGTTGGTTCATGGAAAAAGTAAGACATGTGCATCCATCACATATGGTTGTCATTCACGCATTACACCATTTCATGTAAAACACAGGCAGAGGACAAACAAGATGGATGTAACCTGTTGGAAGAATGTGCTTACCTTCTCATGTCTTTGTCTATGGCTCCTGGCTGTTTAAAATGTAATTTAGTTTAATGCACTGATTATTGTTAGTTTTCCCCAAAGGATAGCCATTTGAGAGGATGAACAGCATGGGAAGGATAATTCAATTTAGGGATTTAGAAATTATAAGAGAAGAACAGGAATGGGGAATTATATTTTCACTGATAATATTATCATACAAATGCCTATTTTTCTTCAATTTATAATAGAATTCCTGTATGTTCTCTTTTCAAAGGGATGGAATTCCATGAGGAACTTCATAATCTGGGAGCAAAAGAAGGATTGAAAGGAAGAAAACTCAACAAGGCAACAGAGAGCTTTGCTTGGAACATTACAGTATTGAAGGTAAGTGAAATGCCCAGATGTCCCCTTTGCCTTTATTTTTCTTCTTCTCACTTGTCCAGCATATGGAGAAGCATCAATAGTTAAATACAGTGATTTGAATTTTTAAGTAATGTGTGGTCAATTCACCGGGTTTGTGCTCTACGTGATGGGGAGATGCATGCTGGGACTGACACATTTTCTGCCATAATCGGTTAATGAAGTTTGCAGTAGAGGCACAGGAAAGCACACCTAACCCCCTGTCTGGTGTTTGTGTGTATGTGTGTGTGTGTGTGTGTGTTTACTCACATGAGCACTTCTGTACAAGTCAATATGGCTGTTCTTGTGTGTGGAAAGAGTAAGGCCAAATGCTGTGGGAGAAAGATCTGACACAAGTGATTTGGGAGAACCTTAAACTACAAAACACCTGGATCCATTTAGAATATTTTATTTTAAGAACAGTCTCTATAAATACATTTGTTTTTGCAAATGGCTCCAGAAGTCAATTTCTTGAGATTATGATTTGGTCTGCTGAAAATTAATTTTAGGATTAAAGATGCCACTTTTCATACATGAAAGGAGAAATTATTTAGGCGGTTGGAATAATTTGTCTTGACAATGTGATGGGAGGAAAAATAGCTACTAACAAAATTAATAATTGCTGACATTTAAAGAATACCTACTACTATTTGCCAGGTGCTGTTTTATAAGGTTTATACTAATTAACATTTTCATACTCACAACCCGATACTGTTGCTATTTTCATTTTACAGGTGAGAAAACTGAGGCATGGCAAACTTATGTATATTACCCAAGGTCACTGAGTTAGTAAATGGTGAAGCTGGACTCTGAACGCAGGCGGTCTGGCTCCAGAGCCTGTGTCTTTAAGCCACTCTGCAGAGAGATGCTGCACATGTGTATGTGGAAGTGCTAGGTGAACTGTATGACTTATCACAAGTGTTTATTAAAAATTCAATCCACAGATATTTGCTAAGCCCTACTATGCCCTGGGCTCTGTGCGAGGCATTGGGAATCCATGGAGAACAAAAGAGATACAGACCCTGACCTCATGAGTTAAAAGTCTGGGGGCAGGGAGTGCGGTAAGGGAAGATAGGCATTTGCTTAATGGGCAGGGAGGAGCTATTGCATTAATATAAAGATAAGCTTATTATAACACTAGCATACAACATGGCAGCATGAACCCTGATACAAATGCTTTCCGTTCAGCAGGTATTTACCGTATTTGCCGGCGCTAAGACGACTGGGCGTATAAGACGACCCCCTAACATTTCCACTCAAAATACAGAGTTTGTTATATACTCGCCGTATAAGACTACCCCCTCTTCCGCACACCTTCCACACACCAAATAAAAGGTAAAACAATATCAGATTTGATTTGGCCCACTGAAGTGCAAACAAGCGTATTGTATTTCGTGTCACCACATAACCGTTTTGGCGATGTTGAGCCACCATGTCTGCTACATGTTTTTCGAGTTCTGGCCAGTGTGGGGTGCCTCTTCTTAATGCACACTTACCCCTTGGCATACTCTTTAATGCTTTCTCATTTGATTTCCAGTCCCGAACCATCTTTTCTGTTACTCCATATTGTCTTGCAGCAGCACAATTATTATTTTCCTTAGCAAAGTTTATAACTTTCAGTTTAAAATTTGCATCATACTTCTTTCTTTTGGCTGGTGCCATGATAGGGATGATAGGGGTTTGACTGGTCGACATTTTCTATGCTGTACTATACAATGGTGCAGTATTGTGGTTGGCTGTTGGCTGTATACAAAGCCTGATTTGATTGGTCCCGCTCCCTGTTTGCCCGCCCTGTCACTATAGCAGTCTGGTCCACCCTTGCATCAGCATCTCCCTGGGACCTCACTAGTGCGCAAGTGCGAGCTCTTCAACATTCTAACAGGCACCATGATAGCGCAAAATCGCAAATCTTCAATGCATATGTAAAGAAATATACGGTAACCCGAATTTACCACACTCGGAAAATCGCACACAGCCAAGCATACACCCAGCAGCGCTGCTGATGCCTGAACGGTATGTGGAATGAAGTGGGCGGGCATCGGGAGGCCACTATGGCACGGGGCAAGCACTATGGGCAGTCTATCTGAAGTGTACCTGGCGTATAAGACGACCCTCCACTTGGAGGCATATTTTTCAGGGCCAAAAAATCGTCTTATACGCCGGCAAATACGGTATGTGGGCTTGTTAATGTGCTGATAACTGAGAAAGGTGCTAGGATCCAAATAGCAAAAGATTAATACCTGGGCCTCTAGGACTAGTATACAAGGGGAGACAGACATTTAACTGATGGCCATGGATTATTCAGCACTTAATATGTGACAAGCAGTCATGGTTAAGTAGTTTTATATACATTTCCCCTTTCCTCTTTGTAACAACTGTGTGATCTTGCAGCAACTTATACTGACCCTTATATGACTCTCCCATCTCACAGATGAGGACATTGAGGCCTAGAGAGGTTTGAGTTTCTTGCCTTCAGCTAGTAAATGTCAGAGCTGACATTTTAACTCATGCCCATGGTTTTAACCATTACCCTGTCCTCCTGCTCCTGTGAAACTCAATCCATAGGACTGAGTCCAGGCAACCTAGAGCAGGATGAGGCTCTGTGTGCAAAGCTGTGAGGCTTTAGCCAAGTTATGTCATCTCTCTGATTACATGTGTGTTCATGTAGCTAACAATATTTAATTCCAATATAATTTCCAACAAGAAAGGGAGGAGCTGGAAAAAAATGAGAAATGGGCCTTCAGGTAAATGGTGGTTGGTAGCATGGAGTGGTAGAAAGGGGCACTGGCTTTAAAGTAAATTGAGCTGAGACTAAAAAATAAATTCTTTATGTTTTCTGTAATCCAGTATCACATTTATCTGTTGATAACAAATGACAGGAAAGATGGAGAAAAAATGTTTCAGAGACAGAGATGAATGGCTCTCTAATGTAATGAACATGAATTACAATCACAGTGTCTAAATTTTCTAAGCCAGAGATCAGGACTTAGAATCCAGCAAGGATGAAGCTTAAGGCTGAAATCAAGATGTTTCTGGAAGCTCCAGTACAGATTTCTGTAATTCATATGTTAGCACCATCTATGAGCCCAGAGCAGGGACTTGCTTAGCAGATCGTCTACATTTCCCCCGCTTTTGCCATATGGCAGTATCCAACTATGCGGATCCTTTTCCTTTCCCCTTCTTTCTCTCTCACTACTGAGCCCAAAATTGAACTTCAATAACCAGCCTGTTCACTGGGGATGATATGATAAAACGTGTCTCATGACTCAGTCTTCAGTGTCTTTCCCAGATAATCAATCAGAGGACCAGGTAAGCATCTCACCCCACCCTCACACATGAATAGTTCCTTTCATCTGTCTTTTTCCCATGATGTCCATCAGAAATAAGTTTTGTTTGATTAGTACCATAATATTAAACTCTTACAATGGGAATTTTTCCTGCTCTTTAAGTCTTCCAGAAAAAGAATACTACAACATCACTTGCATAGCCAACCTTATTGTAGTCAGTTGCCATTAATTTTGGAAGTCTTGGGAGAGCTATGAACTTATACCGTATCACTGATAAAACACAATGAGTTGTGAAGTGGAATTCATTTAAATTCTTGGACTCCATCCAGAGTGATTTGATTCTATAAGTACAAGAAGAACTTCATTGTAGGGTGGTTACACCTATAAAACTGAAATTGGAAAGAACTAAAAGTAGCATTTCAGCAAACTTTCCCAAAAACATATTTTTCTAACTTGGCCAGTTGAGGAACTAAACTCCATTATCTCTATATTTTTAAAAGTTTGACAAAAAATCAATTTTAGCAGGCTGGAAGTGTCAAGTAGAGATACATAAAAATAATATTGAAGAAAACTTATAATCTAATGCAGTTTGTCCCATAAAAAACTGGGTCTCTTTTATAGATTTATATTCGGTAGATATGACTAATCTTTTTCCCACCTAACTTTTTGGCTTTTGAGCACTGTGCAAGCCTTTCCCCCTTCTGCTTTTATTTTGACAATATTTTCATGTTCTTGGGAAGAGCAGAGGCCAAAGCATCTGACTTTTCCTTTTTGGGTACTTGTGTTTCTAACCCAGGCAGAGTCTCTCATTCAATCCCCACATTTCAGGCCCTCACACCTCTGAGGAATCTTACAACGTAAGGGAAATGACATGGATGACAGTGTAGTGCTATGCTTTCTAATGGAACCTGCAGACATGTTTGAGGCCTCTGCTCATTGTTGAGAGACAGAAGAAGAAGGGAGACAAGACGATGAGTTAAGGGGAAAATAAGTGTGAAGAAAAGCATCACTCTCTGCAAGACTGAGTGACAGCAAGAATGGAGTCACCCCAAACTGAATGGCCATAGATATGTCAAATCATTCTTTGAGATCCTATGTGTATGTGTTGGGGGAAGGGAGGTCAAATCAGGCTCTGCTGGCACCGTAATGATCATGCCTCTGGGAGCTGCTCTAGGGTTGTATAAAGCAGGAACATGTCCGTTGTCCTCCATATCCACTCAGAACTCCAATGGTGTTTCTAGAAGCTTCTGTCTATTGTTGCAGAAGAAGCTGGAAAAAGGCTAGGTTTCCTCCTGAGCCAAGTGATTCAGAAAAGAACAGCTATTTATGAAGTCTAGAAACAGAACTCCAATGAAAACTGCATTAATAATGAACTATTCTTCATATTGATATTACTATTTACGTACGAAACATAAAGCAAAGTGGTCAAGAGTATAGACCCTGGAGCCAGATATTTTCTAGCTGTTTGGACTTGGGAAAATTTGCTTTTGTCTCTATGCTTCTAAATCAGCTGGGATATGCTAGGTTGTGCTGTGGTAACAAAGATCTGAAAATCTCAGTGGCTTAAAACAATGGTTTATTTCTAGCTTGTACTGTATATCTATCACGGGTCAGTAAGTAAGTGAGTAGTAGCACATCTCCCTTCCATTCGCCTTCGGCTGGCCAAAGCAAGCCAAATGGTCAAATGTGACTTCAGTG